GAAAACATGGAAATGAAAGTGACGTAGCCAGAGCATTGGCTCTACCTGTGAAATCTAAAGCACGTAAACTTCAGTTTGATTTGATCAGGAATAGTGGAAACCGTGAGCACAATTTTGAGGTTTTAAAGGCCGGCATTGGAACTTTAGTCCCAGCTAAACAGCCAAATTCCCCAGTTAAATCCAGTGAGTTTTTGCACTGTATAGACTGTGGGGCATTGCTTAAGCGAAAGTCGCTGCGGAGGCATGTGGCCAGGTGCCGGCTTTCACAGAAAGATGCCCAGGCTAAACCAGGTAGAAGTAGGGTCCAGTCCCTCTGCTCCCTAGCCCAGCCTGTACCGGAGGGCATCAGCAAAAAGCTGTGGTCTTTAATTTCGGCAATGCATCAGGATGAGGTCACGGGTGTTGTCAAAGCAGAAAAGGGGATTCTGAGACTCGGAGAGCACCTGTACTTAAAACACGGGCATGATAAGACTAAGCATGATTACATTAGGCAGAAAATGAGAGAAGTCGGTAGGTTAATTAACGAAGCAAAAACCGCAGGGAAACTGAAAACAATGAAGGATTTCTTTATTCCTTCCAACTTTAACCATGTGATTGATGCAGTCAGGTCTGTGGCTGGATATGATGAGGAAACAAATCAATACAAGACTCCATCCTTGGCCCTCAAACTCGGCCATAGCCTCAGAAAGCTAGCAGATATTCTTGAATGTGACTCAAAAATGGAGCATTGTGTTGATGAACTATTTATTAAAAACCTCCAACGAAGCCGGCTGCTTTTTGAGAAGAGGTGGGACGTCTGTGTTTCTTCTGCTGCCCTACAGACCCTCCGGCAAGCCAAGTGGAACACTCCGGACCTGCTCCCTCTGACTGAGGACGTTAGAGCCATGCATGCACATATTGAGGTATGTCGACCTGAATATGTGCAAACCCTAATAAGTGAGCCAACGTCTAAGCATTGGTCTAAACTGGCAGTTTTGACTCTTTGTGAGGTCATCATTTTCAATCGAAGAAGGGAAGGTGAGGTTTCAAAGATGCCACTGACAGCCTTTACCTTAAGAAGTAAGACTGGGATCCATTCTGACATTGCTCTGGGACTGTCCCAACTTGAGAAAAAGCTGTGTCAGCATTTTCAACGCATTGAAATTAAAGGGAAAAGAAGTCGGAAAGTGCCGGTTCTTTTGACTCCTGAAATGATTGCTTCGATGGAGGTGCTGGTGGAGAACAGAAGGGCCTGTTCCATCTCTGACCATAACCCATACTTCTTTTCCCGCCCGGGCGCAGACACCCACATCAGGGGATCAGACTCCCTACGCCAGGTAGCCAAAGAATGTGGTGCGGTGCATCCAGAGATGCTATCCTCAACCAAACTTAGAAAGCACATAGCTACTATGTCTACAGTTCTCAATATGAAAGAGAATGAGATGGACATACTTGCCAACTTCCTCGGCCATGACATTCGCATCCACAGGCAATATTACAGACTACCAGAGGGGACACTGGAGCTGGCCAAAATCAGCAAAGTGTTGATGGCCATGGAGCAGGGAAGAGTGACGGAATTCGAAGGAAAGAGCCTCGACCAGATACAAATTGAGCCTGAAGGTAATTCTTGATATTATTAAAATATGTATGATTTTTTTCCCCTAAAGGCCACTTGTATTTTTATTTTCTGTGCGACAGGGAGAGCAGTAGAGATCCTCTCACAAATGGACGGGCTAAAAGAAACTTCAAGCGGAGAACCTTCAACCATTCATCCAGATGCACCCCATGGTAGTGGCAGTGCCCCTTCTGGTAAGTGTACCAGGTGGGGGATTACAGCCAGGCTGCTTGGTCCTAACCCTGGGAGTGTATATTGCTAATATATTTTTATTTCTCTCCCTAGAACGTGTAAGAAAGCCATGGTCTGCATCTGAGGTGAAGGCTGTGGAGAAGACCATGACGCCTTTCATACAGACTGGAAAGGTCCCTGGGAAGTCTCACTGCCTGGCCTGCATTAATGCCTCACCAGATGACCTTAGACATCGGACATGGAGTGGCATTAAATTCTATGTCAAAAATAGAATCACTGCAATTCGAAAACAAAATCTAAAATAAAATTCCTTTAAAATAGTTGTTTGGTTTCTATTGACTGTTTTGTATTACTTAAAGTAGTCCCAGTAAAAAAAGATTATGTCTATGGGTCCCATTCTGAACGGCCCTGTCAAAGGGACCCACCAGGTAACAAAAACGTGTATGTGTGTGTGTGTGTGTGTGTGTGTGCCCCAGGGCAGCTGTACTACAATAATTGTTTATCATTACCGTGTAACATGTGAAGTGTTTTTGAGTGTCCAGAAATGTGTTGTATAAAACTGATGAACTATTATTATTAAAGAGAAGCGATGAAGAGAACATGCAAACTCCGCTGGATTTCAGGCTTCTTTAGTCTCTTCAGAAATACTGCACTGTGCGTCTGCAAGTAAATGGACAGTGTTCCAAACAGAGCAGGTAGCAACGCAGCCTTGTTCAGAAATGTTTTCCAGATGCACAAATCCTGAGAAATGGGTTAAACAAAAAGATTTGCTTCTACAGAGACAACACAGACCAAACACAGGCGTCCAGTCCAGCGCGAACGACACAGAGATGGAATGTGCAAACAGACTAATCCCCAGACGCCCTTCACCGTCGACAAGGGCTGCGTCTGTCGCCTGGACGTGCCACTAAAGCTGAGGTACCTGAGTTTCACAATACAACAAATGGAGCAATGTCATACAATCAAGCTAGTTCCTAAGTTTCTGTCAGTTTGTCACTATCACTGGTTTTCACATGTATTTATGGCCTCTGTCACATCTTTAGAGCAGCTTTTACAGACAGAAAAGTGAAAAAGAGAGGACCACCCTCACTCAGCCAATCAGCTCCCAGCCCTCAATGTCAATTAGTGACTCACAGGGCTCTTTCTTACAAGTATGCAAAAGATAAGGTGTTTTCTAATACTCTTTCTGTCGGGATAAACAACATAGATGACAGTAATCTTCAAATCGGAAGTCGCTACTTTTTCTAGTTTTTTCAACACTGTGGCTTATAGCGCTGCAGCTAATCTATTCATGCATCTAATATAGTGATGCGGCTAATACAGTGATGCAGCTAATATGTGTATTTTATTGTAGTTGTTCGTTAGAGCTGACTTTATAGACTTATTATTTTGACTCCGTTAACTTTTAGTAGCTACGAGACAATGGTTTATTTTATTTTTTAAAAGGTGAATGAGCACGGGCATGGAAGCTAACGGTGAATGAGTCATGGAAGCTAACGGTGAATGAGTCATGGAAGCTAACGGTGAATGAGTCATGGAAGCTAACGGTGAAGTTGTTAAATTCTGTTAAAATCCTGTTGTGTCCAGTTCAAACAGTCATCTCCCTGCTACATTACAACACAAAAACCTGCGGCTTAAATTCAGGTGCGGCCTATATGTAGACAAAACATACTTTTCTTTCAAATATACAGTAGGTGGTGCGGCTTATAGCCCAGAAAATACATGAGGGAAAGTTACAGACCCCAGCTTTAATACCATACCCAACCCGTCAGCTGAGGGGAATAACAAAATACTGCAATTTTGAATGTGCTTTTAACAATGTTTTTTAGACAATTTAGTTTTACTTTTGAAGCGTGGTTGCTCTCTGGAATATTAATTATGTTGATCCATACAGACCACACATGGTTTTATCTATTTGTTACTGTGTGGCAGTTGTCTCAAAGAACCTCAAATTGTCAATTGTTCGCAGGTACTGTAGATGATTAGAAAATGATTTTTTGTTCAAATAAATCAAGCTGAATAATCAATGTTCATAGAATTTCAACCAAAGTAAAACAGACGCAGAGAATCCCTCGTCATTAGACCTGTTTTCTTTGGAGGTTTGGCTAATGCTAACACTATTTAAAGCTAGGATACCTTAGTTTTTCCTTTCATAACCAGTGCATGTTGTTTTTCTCGACCGAAATTGTTTTATTAAAAGTCTATTGTGAACAAATCAGACCACAACATGGGGCTGTCATCTTTTTAGATTTTATTTTTAGATTTTCTCTGCGTAAACAAGCCTTTTGAGTCACTATTTGATGCTGAGAGCTGATTGGCTGAGGGACTGTTGCTCTCTGGCCCTTAACTGTCAGAACAAAAGAAGATTTAAAAAGGTGACAGAGGCCAGAAAGAAATGCATAAGAAAACTAGTGGCAGTTTTGAAAGCAAGGAACAATTCTTAACATTGAATTGAGCATTATTTGCGGTTGGAAAGTCGGGTACCTCAGCTTTAACTCTCACTTTGCTTCTAACTTTCCTCTTTACTCAATGGATCAATCTTTTAAACTTGTGCTGTTAGTGTTATTCTGAACCATATGATTAACATGTGTAAGCACTTCATGTGCGCCGAGGAAGGGTGTGATTGTGTGCCTTCCTGTGTGTGTGTGTGTGTGTGTGTGTGTTGAAGAAAGTAAGTAATCTTTATATTTGTGTGTGTGTGTGTGTGTGTGTGTGTGTGTGTGTGTGTGTGAGTAAATAAGTGAGTAATCTTTATAAATGTGTGTGTGGGTGTGTGTGAGAGAGTAAGTCATCTTTATGTGTGTGATTGTGTATTTGTTGGTGTGTGCGTGTGTGTGTGTGTGTGTGTGTGTAAGAAAACAAGCAATCTTTTCATATTTGTGTGAGTGGGTGTGTGTAAGAAAGTATGTACATAATCTTAAATAGTATGTAAGTAAGTACGTAATATAAATATGTGTTTGCGTGTGTGTTTGTGGGTGCGTGTGCGGTGTCTATAAGTGTGTGTGTGTCTATGGTGTCCATGTTGGAGCTGTGTGGGTGTGTGTGTATATATTTGTGTATGCATGTGTGTCTGTGTGTGTGTGCGTGTGTATGTTTCTGTGTCTATGGTGTCCATGTTGGAGCTGTGTGTGTGTGCCCGTGTGTGTTTGTTTGTTGGAGTTGTGTACCACCCCAGACAGATGGCCGTGTGGAACCTTTGAGGAGCGGGGCGAGGATGTTCTACTTCCTGTTGATAAGGACGGACTTCCTGTTGGCTCAGAGTGGGACTGCATTCCTCACACACACTCTTCTGCTGCTGTGGTGCAGAGGTGAGGTCTGGCTGAAGGAACAAACATGACCAGGGAAATTTTGATAATTTACAGAATTTAAAGGAGCAGTGTGTAATAATCTGGCCAAAAGTGGTACTGCAGCCTCTCCCACTCTCCCTGACTCAGGTTGCCAGATATGCAGACGAATCCAGCTGGGACCATAACAGCTGAATAGACAAGAGTTTTGTCAACAACAAATCTATAACCAACACCTTTTTCACAAAGATAGAAATCCTGGTTTTATTCCTTGTTTTGTTGTTAATGATTTGAGAATCATAACGAGACCTTTTTTAGTTCTGCGCCACATGGTACTTTACCAGTGAGATTCGCTCCACGAGGTGAATTCTGACGCCCGGATGATTGGTGAAACGGTGGAGGGCGGGACATTGAAATGAAAACAATAACAAGATTTAGGGGCTGGAAAACACATTTTGAAATCCAAATATCTCTGAACTACTGTTATCAGTTAAAGAAGTATTGGAAAAGAACATGTTTTATTAATGTCTTTTTACAGATTAAGGCCCTTTAATGATGACTTGATATAAAATATAATGCTACTTTAAGCTCTGAGTTTAAGAGCCAGTTCGAGTTGGACCATACCTCATAGTGATCAACTCAGTGCTAAAGCCAGAGATTTTAAACTTGCTTCTTTATTATTCAATTCAATGTATTCTTGTTTGGCCCTAAATCATATCATATCTCTGAGAACTTTACGAAACCATTGAACTCCCAAACACAGACCAGAGAATCAAACAGTTCAAACACAAGAAATGCCAATATCAATCTGTGGAGACTACACAGAAACAAATTGCATTAAATGAATGAATGAGTTTGTTGTGCATCTGTGACTGCAGCAGAAGTTCATCCGTGTATGGAGTGAATGTTTAATGACATGTGAAGTCTGCAGTTATTGTGGCAGAGTTTTCAGAGCAGAGTTTATGGACTTATTATTTTGACTTTATCAAGTTTTAGGAGCTACAGGACACTGGTTTATTGTCAAAACAGATGAATCCAATCCACTGTATTTATAGCACATTTTGTAAAACACGTTTCCAAAGTGCTGCACAGAGATAAAATAAACATATTTAAATAATTCAAGTTTGCCAGCCTTATGTTTAAGAACAATAAATGAAATAGAGGTAGAACATTATGGACAAAGTAAAAACAATAAAATACAAGTGTGTGTCATAAAAAAACATAAAATATTAGTTTTCTGATATAAAAATAAAAACTAAAAACAATAAAACAAAATAAATAAACAGAGGTGAATGAGTCATGAAAGCTAACGGTCCATCCATTCATCCATCCATATTCTTCCGCTTAATCCATTTCTTGATATAAAAACCTGCGCCTGAGATATAGGTGCACCTTATTGTCCAGAATGTACCGTACTGTTTAAGACAATCTTGCACACCCAGCCACATTTTGTAACAATGTGAATTACAGTTAATTAAATGAGTAATTAGCCTGTGTCCCATCACACTGTCCTTCAGCCTGGGACATGGGACTCTCTGCCCAGGATCCAGGGCCCGCCCCCTCCTCCAGCGGGCTCTTCACGGTCAGCACTAGATCATATACAGAATCGGGACGGAAGCGGAAGTAAATACAACCAACTACGTATTCTTGCCTAAACTTACCCAGCCATTCTGTTGTGGCGAGTTTCATATATTAGAAATTATTTCCACTACAATTCCCAAAGAAAAACCCCAACCCAGCCTTAACCGTAACCTTAGCCATCTTACTCAGACCACCTTAACCCTAACCTTAACCATCTTACTCAGACCCAACTTAACCCTAACCTTAACCATCTTACTCAGACCCAACTTAACCCTAACCTCAACCATCTTACTCAGACCCAACTTAACCCTAACCTTAACCATCTTACTCAGACCACCTTAACCCTAACCTTAACCATCTTACTCAGACCAACTTAACCCTAACCTTAACCATCTTACTCAGACCACCTTAACCCTAACCTCAACCATCTTACTCAGACCACCTTAACCCTAACCTTAACCATCTTACTCAGACCCACCTTAACCCTAACCTTAACCATCTTACTCAGACCCAACTTAACCCTAACCTTAACCATCTTACTCAGACCCAACTTAACCCTAACCTCAACCATCTTACTCAGACCACCTTAACCCTAACCTCAACCATCTTACTCAGACCACCTTAACCTTAACCTTAACCATCTTACTCAGACCACCTTAACCCTAACCTTAACCATCTTAATCAGACCACCTTAACCCTAACCTTAACCATCTTACTCAGACCACCTTAACCCTAACCTTAACCATCTTACTCAGACCCACCTTAACCCTAACCTTAACCATCTTACTCAGACCACCTTAACCTTAACCATCTTACTCAGACCCACCTTAACCCTAACCTTAACCATCTCACTCAGACCACCTTAACCTTAACCATCTTACTCAGACCCACCTTAACCCTAACCTTAACCATCTTACTCAGACCACCTTAACCCTAACCTTAACCATCTTACTCAGACCACCTTAACCCTAACCTTAACCATCTTACTCAGACCCCCCTTAACCCTACCCTTAACCATCTTACTCAGACCACCTTAACCCTAACCTTAACCATCTTACTCAGACCACCTTAACCTTAGCCATCTTACTCAGACCCACCTTAACCCTAACCTTAACCATCTCACTCAGACCCACCTTAACCCTAACCTTAACCATCTTACTCAGACCCAACTTAACCCTAACCTTAACCATCTTACTCAGACCCAACTTAACCCTAACCTTAACCATCTTACTCAGACCCACCTTAACCCTAACCTTAACCATCTTACTCAGACCCACCTTAACCCTAACCTTAACCATCTTACTCAGACCACCTTAACCCTAACCTTAACCATCTTACTCAGACCCACCCAGGATCCAGGGCCCGCCCCCTCCTCCAGCGGGCTCTTCACCTCTCTCTCTGCCCAGGATCTGGGAACCGCCCCCTCCTCCAGCCCTCGCTGCTCTGCCTGTGCTCAGACCGGCCACACGCTTGCACCCTGCAGCCAAAGGGGAGCTCCTGCGCTGCCTCGGACCTACTCTGTCCCGATCTGACTCGTCCTGATCTGACTCGTCCTGGAACATTATCAAAATGGAGACATAATGATGCATTTTACTTGAGCAAAGTAAGTTTTTTCCTTTGGTTTTGAAGGCTGTGTCATTATTCTTTTTACATGGTGTGGTATGATTCAATTATTAATGAATACATACATTTTAATCTGAATTTTATCCTTATTGCCTCTATACTAACTGCTAATTGATGCTCACCTCATTCTATGTTCATATTTAGGCTCTTTAAAGTGCTGAAAAACTTTACTGGGAACTTTCAGACCACAGAAAATGGGTCAAAAAATCAATTTAACTTGTTCTCGCTTTCTAAAATGTTATGCAGGCATTTTTATTTCACCTTTTTTTAGACAGAAAAGTTAAAAAAAGAGAGGACCCCCATCACTCAGCCAATCAGCTCTCACCCCAAAGAAGCAAACAGTGACTCACAGGGATCTTTCTTACATGAATGCGACAGATCAGACATTTGTTAACAAGATGAAGTGACAGCCTTTGTTTGTAGAAGTTAGGTACCCCAGCTTTAATTCTCTATGGGTATCATGCAGCCTGTTAAGTCTGGATTTATCACGACACTTTCTGTTGGACTTGTGCAGAAGTTAATGTTTAACGAGAGACATAATAGACAGAAAAATACTCAGAGTTGTTCATTCAATGGGCAAATATTTGGTTGTTTTGGTGACTATGAACCAATGTCTTTGGGAGAAACCAAACAAGACTAAAAAGTGAAGGATTATCACCGTTTTTATCTGGTTATCACCGGCTGTTTATGGATGGATACAGCTGTGGGAGTCATTGAGTGAGGACAAATGTTGATGGAAGCTTTTCCACACAAATCTCATGACATGAAATTCCAACCACCGTTTTACCAGCCCTGATGATATATACGGTATTACACACACACACACACATACTGTACATACGCAAACACACACACACGCCGCCGCTGTTGAGAAAACCCCAGCTTCCATTTGACTTGTAATTACAACAGACTATTTCTACACACGCCGTTGAAATATGTGGTCTTTGACATGGCCCGGGACGACGTGGGTCTTGTAAGTGGTGTAATTGGGGCCAAGAGTGAGATTCAACATGTCCAAGAGGGAGTGGGGGAGTGGGGGGTGACCTCAGAGATCACCCTCACATGGTCCAGAAGGCCACCATGTGAAATGCCACACACACACACACACACACACACACACACACACACACACACACACACACACACACACTGGACAAATAAACAAACAGATCGATGGGCGGCTGGCTGTGATAGGAGCACAGAGAATCCAATATGAAGGGGTCAAAAATATTTCACGTCCAGCTCCTGAATATGTCCGGCTGTTTTAAAGAGCCGTGACTAAAGCAACAGCGACAAAGCAGAAATAGAAAAAGAAAAATGACGTCTTAGTTCTAATGACGCCATTAACCTCCATTACTTTCATTTACTCATAATAAACATGGCTATACTTTTATACATCTATACATTCATACAGAACAGTAGGAATGAGCAAAATACATAAATGATAACTCTGTACTAGAATAAAACACAATCTCTAGCTTTAGCAAAACAAAAAGCAAGTATAAAATCTATAGTTTTAGCATAATAAAGAAGCTAGTATAAAATCTCTAGCTTTAGCATAATAAAGAAGCTGGTATAAAATCTCTTGCTTTAGCACAATAAAGAAGCAGTTTTAAAAATGTAATATTAGACACATGAATGCATTCTGTTGTGGTCTGAGGCCCTCTGTTGGCAGCAGTGAGGAGTGACAAGTGTTGATATGACAAATTAGAAGCATGGCTATTTCTGTTATGGCCCCACCAGCATTAGCCATGGTTTTTAAGAAAGAGCCAAAATGAGGGCTGCATCCAAATTAGTTCAAAAATATACCTAAATTCTCTCTCCTTTCCTTTCCTTGTCCTAAAATTTTTATATATTTTTAAGTCGGGTTGGCTTCAAGTTTGGTGAAGGCATAAGGTATTTATGATGCCTTTTTGATTTTTGATTAATTGTGATGCTAATCTCGGGATTGTGTTTTGAAGTCGAAATTGTACACTTTATTTTGTATTTTCTCATGCAATGTTTTAGAATGTGAAATATTGAAAAGAAAATTCATGGGAAATACTTTTGTTGTGTGACGTCATAGTGGCACAATGACATCATACTGCTACAGCATTGAGACAGGAGCTTTTGGACAGAAGGGGCGGTCCCTGATGTTAGGCAAGGCAAGTTTATATGTATAGCACAGTTCATACATAAGGCACATCCGAGGCATGAATAATCACAGTACAATGAAAATAGTGAAGATAAAATCCCTCAGTTGTTTGCAGCTAAAAATGTCAGAGAAGAGGCCTGTCTCACATTTTCAGGAAGAAATGCTGCTTGCCCATGTTTAGTCCTGACTCTGAGCACCAGCAGGATGTATCTAAAAACAACTCCAAGTTAATTCCAAGTTATTCTAGGATAATGCCTTGTTTAAATAACCGGTTAAAAAGAGTGAAAAGTGTGTATCTAAAGCTTTGTGTCTCGCGGCCCTCACTTTGGGAACCGTTGTACTGCTATTTGTGCAACAACTTTCCCAAATTCGCAAAAAATGAAACCAAAAACTCAAAGATGAACTTGTGGCCATACCTGCATGTGAGGCTAAGCAGGGCAGGGCCTGGTTAATGCTGTGATGGGAGACCTCTGGGAACACCAGGTGCCACAGTGGGGCGGCTGCGGCTGTAAAGTGCCAAACTCTAACCCACATTAGAATGATTCTGGTGTGTGTGTGTGTGTGGATGGTTGGTGGTGGGGGGAGGGGCTGATGGCAGAGACTGGTTGCCTCACTTCTGTCAGTGTGCCTCAGGGCAGTTGTGGCTACAGTAGTACTTCATCACCACCGTGTTTGTGGAGAGAAAGAATAATGACACGTGAAGCGTTTTTGTGCGTCCAAAAAAAGCGCTATATAAAACAGATGAATGATTATAAGAATTATTCAGACCTCTGCAGACCCAGAACTTTTACGTAACGAATGGATCTTGATGAAAAGAGCTGTAGATTTCCTGTTTCCGCCTGCGTCTTTTGATTGGTGATGTGTGAGCCAGATGTGGGTGCACAGAGCGTCTCCATGGTAACGCCCTGTTTCCTGCTTTTACCTGGACTCCACATTCCTGAGCGGACCCGTGGCGGCGACCTTTAGGCGCCATTGACGTATCCAGCGCCGAGCCGGAGCGTTGCGTCCAGCTGCTGTATTTGCTTTTACTGTGTCCACTTTTCAACACTTTTTTTTGTTTTTTTTTTACAAGTCACTTGTGTTGAGAATGTCTGAAAGAGTTTAGGAAAGTTAAATTTGTCGTCTTCGTAGATTAAGTTATTTGGTTCTTCTTTACACAGCAGTGACAGTATAGGCTGGTAATGTAGGGATTCAATAGTATCGCGATTTTTGGGCCACAATTCAATATTTTTGCGATTTGATTCTATGATATTTTGTGATTCAAGACATTACAAACATGGAAGAAAATAAGACTTATTTATAGACACCAGACGTCATAGAGTCACGACAAGCAGACGTCATAGAGTCACGACAATCAGACATCATAGAGTCACAACAAGCAGACATCATAGAGTCACAACAAGCAGACATCATAGAGTCACAACAAGCAGACGTCATAGAGTCACAACAAGCAGACATCATAGAGGCACGACAAGCAGACATCATAGAGTCACAACAAGCAGACGTCATAGAGTCACAACAAGCAGACGTCATAGAGTCACGACAATCAGACATCATAGAGTCACAACAAGCAGACGTCATAGAGTCACAACAAGCAGACATCATAGAGTCACAACAAGCAGACATCATAGAGTCACAACAAGCAGACGTCATAGAGTCACAACAAGCAGACATCATAGAGGCACGACAAGCAGACATCATAGAGTCACAACAAGCAGACATCATAGAGTCACAACAAGCAGACGTCATAGAGCCACAACAAGACATCATAGAGTCACAACAAGACATCATAGAGTCACAATAAGACATCATAGAGTCACAACAAGACATCTAGAGTCACAACAAGACATCTAGAGTCACAACAAGCAGACATCATAGAGTCACAACAAGCAGACATCATAGAGTCACAACAAGCAGACGTCATAGAGTCACGACAATCAGACGTCATAGAGTCACGACAAGCAGACGTCATAGAGTCACGACAAGCAGACGTCATAGAGTCACGACAAGCAGACATCATAGAGTCACAACAAGACATCTAGAGTCACAACAAGCAGACATCATAGAGTCACAACAAGCAGACATCATAGAGTCACAACAAGCAGACGTCATAGAGTCACGACAATCAGACGTCATAGAGTCACGACAAGCAGACGTCATAGAGTCACGACAAGCAGACGTCATAGAGTCACGACAAGCAGACGTCATAGTCACGACAAGCAGACGTCATAGAGTCACGACAAGCAGACGTCATAGAGTCACAACAAGCAGACGTCATAGAGTCACGACAAGCAGACATCATAGAGTCACGACAAGCAGACATCATAGAGTCACGACAAGCAGACGTCATAGAGTCACAACAAGCAGACATCATAGAGTCACAACAAGCAGACATCATAGAGTCACAACAAGACATCATAGAGTCACAACAAGACATGATAGAGACACAACAAGCAGACGTCATAGAGTCACAACAAGCAGACATCATAGAGTCACAACAAGACATCATAGAGTCACAACAAGCAGACATCATAGAGTCACATCAAATATCGCAGTACTTTCCTCTAATGTATCGATTTAATTGTCAAAATATCGTGATACTGAACAGAATACATTTTTTCCCAAGCACCAGTCTGTTGTAGAAGAACCAAATAATGTATGAGCATGTATTATGAAAAATGTTTTTGGGAGTTTTTTAATCATGTTACCATTACGCACTATCTTCAGAAACACAGTGTTTCCAGAAACATCCACGATAACGAGGAGCTTCTGTAGAAATGCTCTTTTCTCAAACTCATGAGGACGTGACTGATGACCTCATGGACCGAGCTGTAGACTGAGGCTGT